TCCTGGGGACGTGCCGGCCGACTTGGTGCTCGAGCCGAACCAAGCCTTGAACGAACGGGGATCGGTATGGGGCTATTTCTCTAGTATTTCTCCTCCGGCATTCAGGCTGACGCACGGACGGTATCTGTCGTCCAGATATTTCCAGCGCGGTGTTTTTTACTACCACAGCGGTCTGGTGAGCTCACGCTTCCAAATCCAATTGTCAGTTCCAAACAACTGTGGTGGTCCTGGACGTTGGACGTTGGACGTTGAACCGTGCCCTGGTCCACGTTCCAGATGGCTCGTGGTCGTAGAGCGTTGTAAACTTGTAATTTGTCGTTGAAACTTGAAGCTTGAAGACTTGAAGACTTGAAGACTTGAAGACTTGAAGTTGAAGATTGAAGTTGAAGGCTTGAAGCTTAAGTTACTTTCGCTGTGATTCTGTGAAAGCTTAAAAATTAAACTATCACGACAAAGACAAAAGGTCATACCAGGGTTCGAACCTGGGTTCCGGGAAATTCATCGCGTACGAAAGCAGCAGTCAAAATCCCAAGTGATAACCACTACACTATATGACCGTAGCTGAGTGGCACTGTGGCTGAGTTATGGTCCTGGAAGGGTGAGGGTGAATCATGTACATTCGATGCATACTACTTCACACGATGAAAGGAGATGGAAGAGAAACTATTTTGTGACCGAACACAAACCAAACAGGCCTCACTATTAAATGACACTAAGGCAATCCGCCGAGGCTTCCCGTATGCTCGGCGCAGACGAAGGTCACGCATCTCGATGGATAACCACTACACTGTATAAGTGCGTTCTGCCAGAACTTGAATGGTTTCACAATAAGATCTTGAATCGCGTAGGTGGTAAGGAAACGGCGACCTACATGGCCCAGTCTGTCATGTCAGATCTGCATGGTGGGAGAAAAGCAAGCATATAACTTACTACAGTAATAGAGGAAGCGCTGAACGTTGAACATTTACAAGTCACAACGAATCCGCGCTGAGAATCTAAGATGCGGCCAACTCAATTGTAAGTATACCCGGGGCACAGACAGAAGCCTAAAACAGCTTGCCTGTAACCTTCTAACAGCCAAACCAAAGAGTTGAACTTGAGACGGTATCGCGCTAGTGTTCCACGCCCTTGGGATGCATGATTTGCAGGCCGATCGATCCGTGCCCCTGATTTTCTGAGATTGTCAGGGGCTCCAGCCAATGCAGTCTTTTCCGTCATGACCGCATTCAAGCTCGTCTTTTTCTGCCCGAGGGCAGATACCCGTACCGTCCTCGACGCCCTCTTTGCCACGCTCCCGCAGGCTCTCGGGCGCATAGGGAATTACCACCACTGCGCGTTCATCATCGAGGGCACAGGTCAGTTTACCTTCCCGTCTCGGCCGTCCCTCGCTGAACCATCAACTTAGGTCAATTCATACCGGGAGAGGGCGCCAATCCTGTGGTAGGCGATGTGGGGGTTCTGGAGTTGGTCAATGAACATAGGGTCGAGATTCGTGTGCAGGACAGGAGTGAGGAAAGGGCGGAGCTGAGGAAAGTCGTCGAGGAGCTGAAAAAGGTGCGTCGGGTCCGCCTTGGACGTGTGGTCCTATTCCTTGACGATCCTATCCTGTAGGTTCACCCGTACGAGGAAGTTGCGTACGATATCTATCGGCTGGAGGACCTATGACCATCTGAAGATAGGGGTGTAAAATGGCTGCGAAACGTTGTCGCGAACGCGCCGCGGCAGGGTATTTTAATTCCAGCTGGCGGCCAGAGGTAGTGTACATGCATTGCTAGATGCTGGATAACGTATGCGGGATCGGGCGGGCTCACCCAAGACGATCCGAGTTGTCTTGCGCGAAGATCGAGCGGGCTGGATCCGTCTTCGCGCGCTCGTCTTTCAGCAATCTACCGGCGCAGAGCAAGGTGTGAGCCAACCCGATGGGGAAAAAACGGTAGAGTGAGGACGCACCGGGCATCTATCCTCGCGTCCTCGCCCTCCACGCCAATCACTGCTTGCGGGGTCTTTGCGTCGAGAACCTGAACGTGGCAGCATCGTCAGAGAGCCACACATCGCCCAGAGACGCGCACAAACACGACTCACGTAGTGATTATCGCAGTGCGGACAGTACTCGTCGCTCTCCTCATATGTGGTCATGTCCTTCCTAAACGCCTTCTTGCACTTTTTGCACATGAAGATCATCTCCAGAGTCTTCGTGAGCGCGTGGTCCTGCGTCTCGGCGTGGCATTCGGGGCAGTCGAACCATTGTTTGCAGCAGGGCGCGCGGACGGACACCTGGGCGTTGAGGATGTGCTTGCTTTCCGGGAAATGACGTGCGTTGGGGAGAAAGGGAAACCGTGAGTCGCGAACGTGAGATCAAGGACAACTGTTGGGGCCGTTGTGAACGTACCACATCGCGAGGGAAGTTGGGGATGGGAATGGGGATAGCAAGGGGATGGGGTGATTCAAGGGTGATTTGAAGTGTGGGCGTCTGGAAGACAGCTGAGCCACGACCGAGTCGAGAACAGGTCAGAAATCGCACCTATTTGGCCCACGATGGTCTGATATCGGACGAAGAGTTCAATTTCCCGTGGGAGACGGCCATTTTTGGACCAGATATGACGTCCAAATTGACGACACTTCGGGGCCTCCACATCGACTGCCCCATGAATAACACCGGTCGAGCCCACCATGATGTTTCGTCTCTTTTCCCCGACCTCTTCTGTCCGTCCTGCAGAAAGACACGGCCAACGGCCCTGTGGACGCGAGGTGAGTACATTTCCATGCTTTCAGTGTCGCAGATGCCGACGCAAACGCTGCACAGACACTTGAGACTCACCAGAGCGAACCACAATGGTGTCTCTCAACACGTTCTTCCCGGAGCTGTTGTACATGGTTTTAGACGAGATTCAAGCCCGCGACGATCTGCTCTCTCTTGCTTCGACATGTTCTGCATTCAAGGCCCTCATCGTCCCCAACCGCCTCGAATACCACACCATCTCCACCTCGGTTTATTACCCGGCCCTCTGGAACCATCTTATTTCTCGTCCTTATCTGGCGCGCAACATACGGGAACTCGTTCTGTGTGACGATTACACCTCCGAGTCGACGAACGCTCCCAGATGGCGCCTCCCCCGCGTTCTGGGCCGCCCAGGCAGCCCTTCGACGTCTGGCAAGATCGGCGATGTGAACAGAAAAGAGCTCGCCGCCGCCCTCCGACTCATGGCCCTCGTTTCGAAGGTGGACATTCGATTGACTCGTGGCGTGGAAACCTCCGGTCAAGACAATGTAGCGCTCGTCATCTCCAACCTGCCCTCCCTCGTTGATCTCAAGTTGGTTGTGTCGGATTTAGCTATCCTCAACAACGCCGGTGGGGGTACTTTCGTCAGTCGAGACCCGGCATACCCGGTACGTAGCCGTCTCGATACATGGATTCTGTTGCTTACGCGGTTCTGCAGCTTTGGAAGCTATCCCACCTTCGTTCCATAAATCTCGATTTCAATGTATGGGATGACGATTTATGGCCCCCCTTTCTTGCAGTGCTGCTCCGCTCGTCCGACATAGAAGTGCGTTTCATTACCTCCATGTATAGAACGTCCTGGCTCATGTACCGTTCGCTAGGAACTCCACGTTCCCCAATTTGTCACTTGCAACTTTTCCGCCTTTGCCGCCTTCAGAAAGTGTCGCTTCCCCTCCCTCAAGCGCCTCTACATATCCCCTTCGATATACCCCTCATTTGATGAAGACGTCTTCCTGTTCCTCAAGGCTCATCCGGGGATCGAGATTCTGTCATGGTCGGCTTACGGCGCTTGTTATACCGTCCCCTGTGCTATCCTTCCCTCCCTCAAACGCCTCCTCAACTGTAACCCAGCCACAGTTTCTGGGCTTATCCACAACAACCCGGATGCCAGCGTTCCCCTCGAGAGCATCGAGGACTTGGACCTAGACCCCGTCATCCTCCCGGCCTTCGACAGGATCAATCCCGCGACATTCCGCCGTCTCTCCATGCAATTTCTCGACAGCTTCGCCACGCTTAGGATGCTCTCCGTGCGCTTCCCCGCTCTAGTCGAGATAGAGCTCCCGCGGCGCGGACCGTGGGACGACAATCGTCGTGTCTTCATGCAGCTGAAGAAGGCGCTGCTGAGGCCGTGGTTTAATGATCTAGCGATGCCGCATATCGACGATGTTCTGGTGCTGTTTCCGCGGGCGGAGGTGGTAAAGGGGGTCAGATGTACGGGGCTGTCGTACGGGCAAAATCGGGAGCATCCGAAGGTGGTGCAGGTGCTCACGGCGCTCAAGGCGCGGTATCCCAGGCTCAGACGGGTCAACACCTGGCGTCTTTGTTGACATCTCTTCTAGACTACATACGACTACGTTCTTTATGACAAATCTACGCTGGTGGTGGCGTACTCGTACTGAGACGCTTTTCAGTTACACGTTGATCACACCGTGACCAACCCAGGATCGTTCTACTACACTTCCAGTTCCTTAGGCTCTCGATTAGTTTTCTCTCTCTTGGAAATATCGTATACGTGCGCCGGAGACATGAACACTCTCCTGGAGATAATACCGGTCTGACTGTATGCTGCACTGCATTCAAGAGTCCGAGTTTTCAGGAGTTTTCGCCACCGTCTTCGGATAAGTCCGAAACGCGCGCCGGTGTATATGCTACCCTTGCCACCAGCGACCACCACCACCATTCAGCCAAACCGTTCAGCTTTCCTCACGTTCGCGACAGCGCGTCCCGCACAAGAGTGCATATCGTATCACAAGTTTACAATGCGCATTCAAGTCAACCACGGCTTCAGTTACCGTAAGCCTCCCATCATTCTCTGCTACTCAGCACGCTTTGTCCAGCCTTGTTCCTGCTCGAGCGCTGACCGTCCTTGATCTCTTTCAGAACCAAATCCTGTGTTTACATGGGGCGAAAAAAGGGTGTTATGTACGCTTTAGATGTGCATGCCACAAACGGATGCATTCCAGACGATGAACATGTGTATAAATGCCACGGCTGCCCTCGCCAGATTCGCCACCCCTCCCTCCCGCCTGTTAAACGCAACCTCCCGCATACCGCCCTCGCCACCCCAACCCTCACGAAATGCCCAAGCGCGCTGCGACACCCCCGCCGTCCGAGGACGAGCCGAAGTACCTCGCTATCGTGCATCCGTACCCGGCCCACGCGAACATGGCACTCCGGGGCGATCAGCTCGAGTTCGTGTTCTGGCTCGCGGCTTGCGCTGGACAAGATCCGCTTCACGCGCTCTTCCACAAACCATCCGTACGTTCTTCTTGCTTTGAGCTTGTTTATGTGGTCGGCGGGCGTGTGGCGGGCATCGTTGTGTTGTCGTTGGAATAGACAGATGTCTGGTGGATGGTCAATTCGCGGCTTGGGTGTGGCAATGCGGTGGTCCTGTGGATGCAAACGAATGTAGCGTGGATTTGGCCGAACCTGCGAAGACCGAATCGCATCCCAGCGTATCCCCCGCTCACCCTACCGTGTCTTTTTTGCTCGTCCGTACCCCATTTCAACTCGATCTGACCTTCTTTCAGGCCTACGGAATGGTTCTTATAGAGGTTG